ACAGCCTTTGTTTAGCACAGACAAAATGCCATCCATAATGGATGTTTCCTTGATAAACAGCGGAGCAGCAGCTCAACTTTCTCATTACTCCCTGTAATGAGCACGGCTCGGCTGTCTGGGAAGAGGAAGAAGGAGGAGGAGGAGGAGGGAAAAATTGCTCCTGGATTCAGCAGCGGCTCTGGGAGGTGGTGGAGAGGAGCAGTGGTTGAGTTTGGAAGGGGCAAGGTTGGAGTTTGAGGGGCAATGGTCGGAGTTTTGGAGGGGACAGGGCATGGCTGATGCACTCCCAATCCAACCTTAAATTAGAAAACCTTTAAAGATCCGTGGATTTGGATTTCTGGGCAATGGGGGGGGATGCAGGACAGGGCAGCACCCTGTGGGTGACCCTCCCTTGGGACCCCACAGTGTGGAGGCAGCCGGGAGGGCTCGGCTCCCTCCAGGCTCCCGGGGCTCTTAACACAATAATAAGTCAATTCTCGCTGAATAATTAAATCGAGAGGCTTCATAAGTATTGACTTAATGTGACAGCAAGTCTATACTGACTCTGGCTTTGCTTGTGTAAACACAATCTCCTGTTCGGCTTAGTTAGCAGTTCAATGGGATAGAACAGGCCCTCAATTAAAACCAAATGATGCGTGTGCTTAATTCTTCCCTCCCCGGGTAATGATAGGGCTCGAGCAGAGGCAAGGGGATAAAAATCCCACCAAAAAAAAAAAAAAAAAGAGCCTTTGAGCCTCTCTTATCAGCGGTGAATCGGAATGTGGTGTCCTGAAATGAGAACTCGGCTTCTCAACTGACGGCTCCTGACTTGGAAGTTGGGTGGGTTTTTCTCCTGATTTTTTTTCCTTCTCTTGCTGGCTTACCTCTCTCTACACTAATTTGGGGGTTTTTCCTTTGGTTTATAGTGGGGTTTGCCTTTTTTTTTTTTCCCCCCTTCTGTCCCCATACCCCTGAGCGAGGAGCAGATACCACGGGGATGGCTGAGGGTTGGAAAAGCCCTCCAAGAGTCCCACCTGACCCCCACCCAGAGCGCTGAGTGCCGCGTTCTAGTCGTTCCTTGGGGACTCCACCACCTCCCTGGGCAGCCCTTTCCAAGAAGGAATTCCTCCTGGAACTTGGGATGAGGGAGCAGCGCCCGCCCTTCCCGCCCTTCCTGCCCCTGCAGAAATTCAGCTTCCACTAAAACCCCAACTCAGCCCCCCCTGGCTCACATCGGGACAGGTGACTCCACTCCCCAGAGCCCGGCACGGAGCTCTTCCCACATCAAACAAATCTACCCATTGATCTTTTTGGGGGGTTTTTTTTGGTGTTTTTTTTTTCCCCTCCCCCATGAACTGCTCGCTGCCTTTGGTGGAGGGTCATCCAGCACAGCCCAGAGTTCTGTTCCATCTCCCCTCCTCCCCTCGGC